AGGCTTGAGCAATGAAAAAAAAAAGCTGAACAAAGTGAAAAGAGGCAGCAATGTGTTAAGGACTCCAGTGAGGGACGTGATCAATGCAGGCCAATGCACTCAGCCAAAACACTAGTAACAAGCGAAGATAACACTATAACACTGCTCGCCTCATCCCAGATACAAAGAGACTCTGGACAAGATGATATTACCCTTTGTATTAGGTACCGCTTCACAAATATCATTTTTTATCTTTCCGTAGTGTTTCAAAGGCTTCATAAAACTATGCACGCCACAACAAGATGTGTTCACGAGTGTCTGCTTCCTAAGCAGTCTTGCACCACGAGCCCTGTTCCCCGTGGCCTTCCTCCCCACAGACAACGTGACTTGAGGAACACGAACAGTTCTTTTCTGTGCTACTCACACAGATTGGCGTTCCCGGCATAGCGAGGGACTCAATAATGGGAAAACTTGGAATTTTATAGATCCTATGCTTTCAAGCACAGATGAAATGGAGATTTTTGGAGCCGAGAAATCATTTAGAGGAGATTAAGTACCAGAGCTGGTGTCTTATATGGTGGCTCCTTTGCCCTGAAATCCCTTCCCCTGGTGTGCCCTAGATGTGTTGGTTCACTAAAGACCACCATGAGGAGAGATTGTCTGGGGTAAGAGAAGAATGTTGCAAGCTATTAGTCACTATTCATATGTTAGTGTGAATTAGTTTATGCAGATTGCTTTCCTTCCGTTACTGCTGGTATTGGCTGTGCTGAGGCAACAGACTTCTGATTTGAAAGCAACCAAAGAGCAGTTGGGTGACTGGGCAGCATGCAGCATTTGAGGGGAGGACACAGCTCTAGGTCAGATTCTAAAGTAGCGGCCATAAGGCAGCTTGAGAACTCGAGACCAAGAATCAAGGAAGAATGCCAGAAAGGATGACAGGCCCAGAAACTTCTACAGGCCATAATGTGGTTGGAATATAGAAATAATAGTATAGGTCTGAAAATGGGTTTCCTAAGGTGCGCACCTTAGCAGGTATTAGGATAAGAAAGTTCACTTCGGGTAACATAGATTTAGAAGTTTCTTGGCTGCGGGACGGCTCTGAGTCTTTAATATGCTAATGAGCTGATGAATATCCAAAAGAGGACTGTAGTCTGCAAGTTTATGTTACCAAACATTTGGAGAGTATCTCGTGGGATTGGTGTGCAACAGGACACATTTTTGGGAGTACATTTATTGTTCATTTAAAACAAGAACGTCAAGGGGCGCCTGGGTGGCGCAGTCGGTTAAGCGTCCGACTTCAGCCAGGTCACGATCTCGCGGTCCGTGTCCGTGAGTTCGAGCCCCACGTCGGGCTCTGGGCTGATGGCTCAGAGCCTGGAGCCTGTTTCCTATTCTGTGTCTCCCTCTCTCTCTGCCCCTCCCCTGTTCATGCTCTGTCTCTCTCTGTCCCAAAAATAAATAAACGTTGAAAAAAAAAATTAAAAAAAAAAAAAAAACAAGAACGTCAAAAGTCTTGGGCAATATTTTCACCTCTGAACCTCAGCTGAAAATAAAGGTGTTAGGTTGGGCCATCTGTTTCTTTCTAAGTCTAGAATCTAGAGCCCATGCGAAATGAGAACAGGTTCCATTAAATGAAGAGTGGCTGGGCAGGTTAGAACAGAAGCACGTGCAAACTTCAGTCATTATGAAATCTCTCCAAGGCTGATCTTGCTCTAAAAGCGGTAAAGGAGTTCATTTCTTCCTGGACTCTTGGTATTCTGCTTTGGCGCCTCTCCTGGGACCAGAGCTCGGAGTGGTCCATGCTTCAGTTACTAATTTCCCTCTCCACCCAAAGTGCTCAGACCTACCCAGCATGTCTCAGCTAAGTCCTGCCAATTTTCTCTCCTAAATAACTCAAATCTGCCCCCGCCTTCCAGATCCCTAGTCTTGCACCTGTCTCCCATCCTACTGCTCTGAGAGGACGTCCCATGTCTCTTCCATTCTAGTCTGTTCTCCACACCACAGTCACAGTTTGAAACACAAATCACATCTTGTCACACTGTCCCCCACCCCCCGCACTCCCACTCCACTGCCCCCAATTTAGTATCTTCTCATTTTTCTTAAGGCATAGTCAAAGCTCTTTATTGAGGTTTTGAAGGCCCTAAGGGGGCCTTAGTCATTTCTGCTGCCTCATTATATCCATGTCGTCCTTACTCTGTATCCCAGCCACACTGGCTTCCTTCAGCCCTCAGACTTCCTACTGTCATGTGACACAGGGCCTTGACACATGTTGCCCGCTTTGATTTTTTTTTTTTAATGTTTTTTTTCAACGTTTATTTATTTTTGGGACAGAGAGAGACAGAGCATGAACGGGGGAGGGGCAGAGAGAGGGGGAGACACAGAATCGGAAACAGGCTCCAAGGCTCTGAGCCATCAGCCCAGAGCCCGACGCGGGGCTCGAACTCACGGACCGCGAGATCGTGACCTGGCTGAAGTCGGACGCTTAACCGACTGCGCCACCCAGGCGACCCTGATTTTTGCCGTTCTTGATCTCTCAACTAAAGCCTCATTTTCTCAAGGGATGTGTCTCTGATCTCCTTGGCCAGGTTGAACCCTCCTATAAACATGTCATCATGTCACCACGTGCCTTTAATTTTACTCACCGCAGTTGCATTTCATTTATTTTTTATTTAAGCTTATTTATTTACTTTTTTTAGTAATCTCTACACCCAACATGGGGCTCAAACTCATGAACCTGAGATCAAGAGTCGAATGAGCCCCTTCAGTTGCATTTTACATTTGTGTCCGCAACTGTATGATTCATGTCTGTCTTCCGCATTAGACTGACTAGTTACATGCTCCATGAAGTCAGTGTTTGCCCATAATTACATCCTGAGTGCTTCACATTGTGTCTGCTTAGGGGGGCCCTCAATAAATATGAGGAGACCAGCCTCATTTCACAACATGGGTGATTGATAGGACCTTAATCCCCTTAGAACAGTGGGTTTTGCCTGAGGTCCGTGCAGGATATCCACTTCCAATGAATGTATACAAATGTTTGTGCAGGTGTATTTTTCTGAGGATAAGTGTTCCTGTCTTTTAACACATTCTCAGAGGGGCTATGCACTACTCCCCTTCCTCCCAGAAAAGTTAATAACAGTGGTCCTGGGTTGTTTTGTTTTGTTTTTTTCCCAAAGGAATTCCTTGTTACCCAAATGAATTATAAATAACTAATATGTGACAAGTCCACACAAGACAAGGCAAGGTCAAGGCCAAAGCCTGACCGATTGGACTGGTAGAGATACAATGAAATAGTCCTGGATGTAGATGGTTTATTGGTTACATAGATAGTGAAAGGAAAATAACGAAAGTGCCAGCTCCCCATGGACATAATCCCACGTGCAAAAGAGGATGACACCAAAATAAAATGTCCATAATGAGTCACCTTGTCGCTGAGGGGCCAGCCTTAGATAGCAGCTTAGCAGGTTTTTGGTCTGCAGCTCGATTCTGAGGGGTGAGGAAAGAAGCCTCACAGCTCTTCAGAAGCTGGGAGGCTCTGAGAAACTGCTTCAAGACAAGGCGGGGAGGGGCAGGGGCCATAGAGCACCCCTCACAAGCGTCCTAAGGCGACTATAGGCTTTTGGCCACGACTCACGTGAACTGTCGGTGGAATCTCACCTGGGGACTACAGGCCTTTGGCCATGACTCAGGTGGACTGTGAAGGGAGAGTCTCACCTATGTGGCCCATGTGGATGCATGCGAGGTCCCCATTTCCTTACAATATGGCAGTCGAGAGTGAATACTTCTCTTCAGTGTGAGTGAGGATGATTTAGACCAGTCAAGCCATTGACCGTGCAGGCAGGTTATTCCTAATCAATGCCTCTCCCCTGAGATCAACTGCTCCAAGTGGCCTGCTTGTCATTCCTGTAAACACAGTCTCTAAAAGTTCAAACGATTTATCTTTCTGCCTCTTAATGGTTCTCATGGCAGTAGCAGTGGATCAGAGCTGTCTAGTTGTAGGAATAACAATTTTTTGGATCCAGGGCCGCTATTGTTTTGGAGGGGGACAGTGGGGATGCATCCTGTATTTCTAACAATTACTTTAAAGTCGAACTTTTCACCAGTGGAGAACTGTTTGTATTTAAGAAATGGCCTCCACGCAGTAAAAGGAGCCAGGTTTTGCTAAGACTGGGGAGAATGCACAATGGGACACTTCCCAGGCCCGGGGATGAAAATCCTGCCCCGCCCTCCTCCTGGGTTTGATAAGCTCGCGGGGTAATGTAAGGAGGCTTCTAGCCAAGGAGTGGAGACAGCTCAAGCTCCTCAGAGGAGGTAAGGGGAATCCCGGGAGGCTGGGAGAAAATGCAGATTGAGTTCTCTTACAGTGAACTGACTTAGCCCCAGGTTATAAGCAGCCCACACTCTGATTTTAATAAGCTTCAGGGCTGGTACTTCTTCCTAATGAGCAGACTTTAAAGGAAATGAAACCACCTCATGAGTTTTAGTTCATTTGTTGTATAGAAGAAAGCACTCCGATTAGTGATCGGAATGGCGGTAGGTAATGTCTTGGAACCAACTGACGAGTTAAAAAAGGATTTGGGAATCAGACTAGTTCTCTGGCCTACTTTCTAGCTGATAGAATTTCAGTCTCTCTCTTCACAGAATCTCAGTGTGTGGGCCCTTCTCTGCTTGAGAAAGAGGGTTCAAGACAATGCCGTCTCCAAGCAGTGTTGAGTAAGTTCCTCCTTTATGAGAGGGGGTATCTCATGCTTGAAACCATTGAGATACTATCATTGAGACTACAGTCATGAGACTACAGTCATTGAGGCTACAGTCATTGAGACTACTGTCATTGAGGATGTCACATTTGCAAGCCTTTTTGGCGCTTCACCATGAGAGAATGTTTGGGGGAACTCAGCAGCCATCCTCCAGTTGAAGTAAATATTTGTGTGTGTCCAAGCAAATGCTCCGTGTCTTCCATGTTTAACCATATACAGCAGAGACAGTAAATGTCATGAGTCCTACATTTTCTTGGATCGTAGGTAAATGCAGAAAGAATTGGCTTATGGCGTTGAGGAGAGCCTAAAGCACAGAACCATTGAGGGTTTTGCTGAATGCAATGGAACCACCGTCTCTGGAACACCAGGGGCCGGTCGCCATAGAAGCAGTCAACCTGAACCGTTGCAGGGTGTTTATCTTCAGGAATCTTGAGGCCCACCCCCAGGAGCCCTGGGCTTCCAAGAGGATCACTGCCCCTCTGACAAGCATGGTGAGTGACACTCCTAAAATGTTGATGGGGAAAAAATGGATAAAATGCATAAAGAAACCACAGAATTTGCTAAAACTTAAGAAATGATGACATGAATTGGAAATACAAGTTCTTGGTTCTAAAATGCTTTCTCAGACATGAATTTGCTTAAATGACCTTGACTTTTGTTTTCTTTACCTGTGAGATGGGAATATATTTTGCTCCAGTTTTCAAAGATGCCAAAAGGACTGATGCACTAAAATAATGTCAATCATGTTGTAAAAAAAAAAAAAAAAAAGCCAACCACGTTTGTGGTTATAAAGAATAGTGTGCTTGACCCTGTGGAGCCTATGGGCGAATTAAAGTGGATGCAGAAAGCTATTCTATTTAGGTAGTTAAAAAATTAGTAGCATTTCCTTGATGTTTGGATTTTAGTTTAAACCTGGGTTTCATGAGAGAAAAGTCTCTCTGTATTCTCTGACTGAGAAGAGACATGAACAATTGTTTGGAGAGAGAACTATGATTTTGAAACTCATGCCCAGTGCCCGCACTCTGAAGGCACACATCAGGCTTCAGAGAACACGGTCTGGTCTGCTGGGAGTGCAAATGCAGAGACTGTCTTTGCTAATGGTCTGTAGTAAGAGGGAAAAAGAAAACGCAGGCGATTATATCCCTCAGGTCTCCGGGACATTGCAAAGGATCTTGCCAGTAGAAGGAAACCAATGGCAAAAAGTCCTCTGCTCCCATTTATTTTTTTTTATTATTTATTTATTTATTTATTTACGTTTATTTATTTTTGGGACAGAGAGAGACAGTGCATGAACGGGGGAGGGGCAGAGAGAGAGGGAGACACAGAATCGGAAACAGGCTCCAGGCTCCGAGCCATCAGCCCAGAGCCCGACGCGGGGCTCGAACTCACAGACCGTGAGATTGTGACCTGGCCGAAGTCGGACGCTTAACCGACTGCGCCACCCAGGCGCCCCTCCTCTGCTCCCATTTAAAATGTCACCACACCAGAGTGAAAATCTATAGTAGTGCTCATCCTCCATTATACCTTTGCAGATTCTAAGCTCGGCAAAGGACATCTTCAAAGTTACCTCTTTCCTGCTTAAGCTTCCCAATGGCAATGCCTAACGGGCTGCCAGCATCCCCACACTGTTCTGTCTACATAGACTGAAACCCAATAACGGAAAACACAAATCAAATTGGAGAGCATGAGTCACCTCCCTGGCGGGGCGGGTGGGAGAGATGGGGCGAAGCAGTTAGCTCTCAGCACGCGGGGGGTAAGCGGGGAGAGCTGAGGTCAGATGCTGGTCATGATTTGGCTCAAGGGTTTTGCATTCCTGTTACACTTCAGGCCTCATCACACTCAGTGACTCATGAACCGGGCGCCAATTAGCACACAGATATTATGAAGAAGAAAGGAAAATGAACTGAATAAAACAGACAACAGAATGGGTGGGGCTTGCCCTGGGGGGTGCGGCAGAGTCAGCGACAGTGAGTGGTCTGCAGCTGGGCCTGTACCGGGCGGGGGGGCCTTTGTGTCCAAGTGGGAACGGTGAGGGAGACCAAGGCCGCAGGGAGACCAAGGCCGCAAGGAGACGCAGACCACGTTGACCATCTGAGTGGCGGTGGCGCTGCTGTCTCCGGCTGGGTGAGCTTGGAGAGAAGTGTGCACCCCGCCTCTACGCCCGCATTTCTATGTGGTCCAGTGGGACAGTCGCTCTCCTGTAGGGGAAATAAGTGATGTTGGGCCACACTGGGCCACTTCAGAGAGGTGGGGGGGCGGGGGGAGAATGGTGTCTGACACTTGCCCTTGTGGGTGGAGAGTGGTCTTCTTGGCTCCAACGTGAGAGCTCCTGTATGTTGACAGTAAGTCTTTTAAAACCTGCAGAAATTGAGGTGTAAATTCTACACAACGTGTTTGCCCTGCCTATAATTGTTGTATTAGACCGTTGAGTCCAGTACAACAAAATACCATGGATTGGGTGGCTTATAAAGAACGGAACTTTAGGGGCGCCTGGGTGGCGCAGTCGGTTAAGCGTCCGACTTCAGCCAGGTCACGATCTCGCGGTCCGTGAGTTCGAGCCCCGCGTCGGGCTCTGGGCTGATGGCTCGGAGCCTGGAGCCTATTTCCGATTCTGTGTCTCCCTCTCTCTCTGCCCCTCCCCCGTTCATGCTCTGTTTCTCTCTGTCCCAAAAATAAATAAAAAACGTTGAAAAAAAAATTTTTAAAGAACGGAACTTTACGGCCGACACTTCTGGAGGCTTGGAAGTCTAAGATCAGGGCGCAAGCGTGGTTGTGTTCTGGTGAAGGCCCTCTTTTAGGTTCATAGCCAGAGCCTTTTCTCTGTATCCTTACATGGTGGAAGGGCTGGTGAGTTCTGTGGGGTCCCTTTTATAAGTGGACTGATCCCCTTTGTGAGGGCTCCACCCTCAGGACCTCATCCTATCCTAACCACCTTCCGAAAGCCCCACCTCCTAACGCCATCATACCTGGGGGTTAGGACTTCAACATACGAATGGGGAGGGGGGCACATTCAGACCATAACATCCAGTAAAGTCACATGCAGTAAAACTGGATGAATTTTTGCATATGCAAATACCCCTGTGAACAACCACCATTTTTTTTCACCTGGGTGCTCCAGGTCAGTAATGTCACTCGTGATTTCTACCATCAGAGATTCGTTCTGCTCTTCTCAGGCTTTATGTAAATGGAATCTTGGCAGTCGATGCTCATTGTGTCTGCCTTTGTCCCTCCCTCCCCGTTATCTGAGATTCATCCCTGAGGGAGCTTCTGGTGGGCAGCCGTTTGAAGGACGTGCGTCTGCCGCGCTTTGGTACTTATTCCACTTTGACTGAGGTTGCTGCGATGTGTCAAGAGGGCAGATGCCATGTGTAAATTCTTTCAGCTAAAATGTTCTGCATAAAAATAACTGGAACACAGTCCGGTGTCGTGCCACAGCAACTAAACAAACACTGTTTATGGTGCATATTTTTTTTTTTACTCTGTGTGCTTCTCTGCTTCTTCTTGCGGGGTATACACATTTCCTCCAGCTGTGGGAAGGTGGCCTTTTGTTCACAAAGAGTCACAGAACTGCCATTGGCTAAATCACAGGGTGGTTAAGGCTGCGATTGAAACTTAGGAGACAGCGTTCAATGTCACCTTTGATGATCTAAAACGGCACCCGGGGAAGCAGGAGCTCCTCCGTAACAGCAGACAGAGGCTCTTTCTGGGATCGTGTGCTCACAGGGTCTTGATGCACCTGACTGATGTTATTAAACTTTAAGGACCCCTCTGAGAAGGATGTTTCGCTCTGAATAGCAGTGTTCCCGGGGACATCGTGACCTGGTGACCTCACACAATTGAATCTCTCTCGTTTTCTAGAGAATCTGAAGCTTCTCACCATTAAGCTGACCAAGAAGAGCAGTGCAGTTTTCTCCTTTTCTGCTTTAGCACGTTCCAGGGGACCAGGGGCTGTGCTTCCTGAACGCAACTGGGACAGGAGTTTATGGAAATGGAGTGAGATGAATAGACGCCCAGAGCCAAGTTCACAGATGCTGCACGTTGAGAAGTGCCATGTCCCTAAGCACCCTGCTCAGAGGGTCCCCTTAATTTGGCAACTGTAAAGTAAACATCTCTTCTTTCACATAGCCCTTGCCCTACAGGCCACGGCCCCACATAGATAACTAGCCCTCGGCTGAGGTGGCCACTCAAGCCCGTGGCTTCGCTGCCTCTGGGCAGCCCCCCTATCCTGACGCAGACAGCCATGGTGCCTCGTGAAAAAATGCCCCAAATGAGAGAGGAACGTTCACCTAGGGGAGTGCCGGGCTACTGAAATGTGGTGATCTTCTTCAGGTGTTGGTAAGCCAACAGATAAAAACATTTAGAAAGCAGAAATGAGAAACAGTTACATTGGAAAGAGGTGAAGGGAAGCAGACTTCAAAAAGACTGAGCGCCTCCCCCCCCCCCCCCCACCAGGTAGAAAACCAAATAAAAGAGGAAAACCACAGGCTCACAAATTGGGCAAACTTCTATTCTTTTCTCCATGGTGGGAAAAAAGTAACTTTTTCACACGCCTGTCATATCCTCATGCATTGGCATCGTGAAAGTCAGGCACAAAGCTGCATCTTGTTTAGGGAGTTCAGGTTTGTCAGGAACTGCTCCAGTCTTTATTATCTCGCGGACCAGACAGAGACAGAGTGGCACTATTATTTTTGCTTTATCTCAGGGTGAAAATTCTTTCTTTCTTTTTGTTTTTTCTGTTTCCTGACCTGGTATGTCATATCCTTGATCAGAATGGAGCAGAGAAAAAAACCAGGTTTGCCCTGGAGTCCCTCCTTTGTTCGTTCAAGTTCCTGCCCCAAAGGTGCAGATTTGACCACCTATGACGCTTCATGATTTTCTGATTCAGTATCATTAATATGATGTTTTCTTTAATTCGATGACTTTATTTTCATAGGAGTAATGAATGTTTAATACACAAAGACCCTCTGGACATTAAAAGAACCAGAGCCACGTGATATTAAAGTTTAAGAATTACTTCTCTCTGGAGGCCTTATAAAGCCCCGAGCGGTATAAGTTTTATGTCTTAGAAGTATTTTTTTAAAGATTTTTACTTTTAAGTAATGTCTACACCTAATGTGGGGCTCGAACTTACAACCCCAAGGTCAAGAGTTGCCTGCTATACCCACTGAGCCAGCCAGATGCTCCTGTCTCAGAAATACTTTATTTTTCTTGTCAGTTTGTCCACTGAGATCAGGAGCCAAGAACCATCAAATTCACTTCTACGAGGCTTTGCCCACGGTACCTTTAACTTCTGGATGTATGTGTTAGTCAAGGTTCTCCAGAGAAACAGAACCAACAGGAGATAGATAGATAGATAGATAGATAGATAGATAGATACAAACAAGCATACATACATACATACATACATACATACATACATACATATATAGATTTATTATAAGGAATTGGCTCACATGATAATGGATGCCGGGAAGGCCCATAATCTGCTCTCCGCAAGCTGGAGACCCAGGAAAGCAGATGGTGCCTGATTCCCAAGGTCCGAGAACCAGGAGGTTCTGATGGTGTAAGTCCCAACGTGGGGGCAAAAGACTGGTGTCACAGCCTAAGCAGTCAGGCAGAGAGGGGGGATTTGTCCCTTCCTCTGTCTTTTTGTTCTGTTCAGGCCCTCAGCGGGGATGAGGCCAACCCACGTGGGGGAGAGCAATCTGCTTTACTCGGTAATCTCATCTGGAAACACCCTCCCATATGTATCCAGAAATGATGTTTACCGAATATCTGGGCACCTGTGACCCAGAGAAGTGACACATAAAATCATTCCTCACGGTGTATCTGGGTCTCTTCTTTTCTCTCCAAATCCCCTTGTTTGTCAATGTTCCTGGCCTGCCTTTGAGGCAGGGGCTCTGTAAGCCACAGAGCAGGCTGCAGAACAGGTTTGTGGGAGGACACTGAAAGCCTTGTTCCATATGTCCAGGGCACTCCTTGGGCTTATCCTACTTAATTAGATGAGATTTCTGGCATGATCGTAGTATAGATTTGATTTGATCTATCCAATTGTATCCCCAATGGAAAAAGAACACATCGTTATTAAACCTGTGTAAAAGACTGCCATGGTTACAGAGAGAGAAGGAACTTCGTGAAGGCACTTTGAATAATATTTATTTAACCCCTGTTGCTATTGCTTTGTCTTCTTACTTTTACAGAATTGTCATTCTTAAGTTTTCCCTCATGATTTATTGATTTACTGCATTAAGCTCTCTCATACCATTTCCTCCTCCCATCCTGAATCCTGAGGGTTCAGCGGGCACCAGTTGCCGTTTGTAAAAGATTTGAGACCAGTTTGTAACAAGTGTAACCTGTTCATGAGGATCAGGGCTGAAGTAAGAATAAAGGAAAGAGTTTTTCCTCACGTGTACATGTAAAACGGAAGACCGGCCGCCGTTAAATCACCTCATTCTGTTCATTTAGTTCCAGGGAATTACAGTGTGTTTTGTTGCTCTCAGACTAAACAGATTATTTGCATGAAGTCCTTTGCTTTTGGAAGGGAATGTTCTGGCAGTCCCGATTTGGTCTCCTGACAGTCTCACAGAGAGTGGTGAAGGGGTCATCTTATAAAAGGGAGCCTGTGTCTGGGGGTCTCATCCTTCCTAGTTTCAACTGTCCCCCAGGACCTGTTCAGGACTTTCCTGAAGCTCGTTTGATATTTCTTTCAGAAGACTCCATTTCTGACCTGCTCTTGTAGCGGCAACTTTTAGGCGAGTGGAAGGGAAACGCAGAAAACGCTCCGTGGATGGTAAGACCCTAAGGCGCTAGTTAATTTATTATGACCGTCAAATTTACTATGACCGTATGATATTTCAGAATGCAAAGAAACAGAACTCTATTGAGGTGCAGTAAACGTTCAGTTTAATGAGGATTTAGTTGATCCTTATGCTGAGGATAAGAAAACATTACAAACAGTAAGGACATTGTCAAATCTCTGGCGTCTTTAGTTTATCCCATAAAGTGTATTCTCTCATCAGTTGACAAGTATTTATGGAGAAAATTGTTTGTATAACAAAGAACGTTTATGTAGAATATCAAGATGTCTCTTAAAAGTTAACCTGTGTATTGTTTTTGTGCCCATATTTGTGTGTGTACATAAGGATGTTTCTGACATAAATTGCATAATTACTGAAACATTTAGATTCATACCTTCTATTTATATATAATTAATACGGAGGGGTTTAGCTTTTTGACTTGCTGCTTATTCATATTGTGGACATCATAGTGTTGAGTGTATTAAAACTAGAGATTACCGGATTATTTCTTCTATCTCCCTCTTTTTTTTTAACATTTATTTTTTGAGAGAAAGAGGGAGAGTGCATGGGGGAGGGGCAGAGAAAGACGGGGAGGGGCGGAGGGAGGGAGATCGAGGATCCAAAGCCGAAGCGGGTCTCTGTGCTCACAGCAGAGAGTCCATTGTGGGGCTTCAACTCACAAACCGTGAGGTCGTGACCTGGGTCCAAGTCTCAGACGCTTAACTGACTGAGCCACCCAGGCGTCCCAGTACTATCTCCTTCTTAAAAAAGGTGAGAGATCAACTCTTTGTGGTACCCAGTGGACATCTGGGAAACTCCAAAGATAACATAAGTATAATAGAAATCTTCACAGTTTTGGAGTTCTGATTTGGGGTCTCAGATTTGGGAAAAGCAGTGTCAAAAACAGTTAAAGGAAACATGAAAAGAGCATTAGTCATAGACGCCCTGAGGACAAGACATGTTTTCAGGTAATATTTAAAGGAAGCACAGCAATACCTAAAAATGATTATTTGACACTCTATTGCAAAACTAAAGACATTTTGTTAAAGTAGATTTAAAAGTGTGGCAAAAACAACCAGTTTACAGAGCATTTTAGGAAGAGAGGGAACCGCTGATATCTGGGCACAGAATACCTTGAACTCTTCTTGTTTTGCTTTCTTTGCTTTTTTAGGAGCATTCTAGCTACCCGAGGATCAATTCACGATGTTAACAGAGAGAGAGAGAGCGCCAAATTCTTACTTTACTCTTTCTGATTACCTTCCATATAGCAGTTCGTGGTAAAGGAGGCACAAGCCTCTTTCCACCTTATGAATAAATCAATTATCACAGAGCCATTTTTGCAAAAATTTTTAACATATTTCTCTGTTCATTTCACATTCACTATATGCAGGCATATAAGCCCAGGCTCTTAAATTCTCTTTTCTTTTTTTCTATATTTGCAACATAGCCTCAAATTGCCTTCTATTACCTTCTTTCATGTTCTGGCACAACCAGACAATTTTATTTAAAACAAAACAAATAGAATACATCCATCATCTTGCGTATATATCTCTCTGCAATCAAATGCATCTTTAAAATGATTCTTTTTTTTTTTCAAAGACTTTGTTTTTAAGTGTGGAGCTCAAACTTAAACCGTGAGAACAAGAATCACGTGCTCTACCGACTAAGCCAGCCAGGCACCCATAAAAAGATTCTTAAACTAATCAATTTATACATCCATTTTAACCTGCTCAGTGATGCCAAGAGTACAGTAAAACTAGTATTTTCTGGTGTGCAACATATGTACTAATACCTTGATTTACTATTAGTTCAAAGTCTTAAAGTTAATTGGTGAGGATGTAAAATGGTGCAGCCACTGTGGAAAACAGCTTGATAGTTCCCAAGCAAGTTAAACATAGAATTACCATATGACCCAGCAATTCCATTCCTGGGTATACACACAAAAGAACTAAAAACAGGTATCGAAACAAATGCCTGTACATACATATTGACAGGAGTAATATTTACAATAGCCAAAATGTAGAAACAACACAAGTGTCCATCATGGAAAAGTGGATAAAGAAAGTGATATATACATACAACAGAATATTATTTGGCTGTAGACATGAACACACTTTTGATAAGTGCTACGTCATGGATGAACCTCAAGACATTATGCTAAATGAAATAAGCCAGACACAAAAAGTCAAATATTGTATGACTTCATTTGTATGAAATACCCAGAACAATTAAATCCATAGATACAGAAAGCATATTGGTGGTTTCCAGGGGCTTAGGGACGGGGAGGAATCGGGAGTGACTTCTTAATGGGATGAAGTCTGCTTTTTGGGTGATGAAAACACCATCTCGTTTGAAATTAGGTAGAGGTTGGTGGTTGTCCGACATTGTGAATGTACTAAACGCCCCAACTTGTATGCTTCAAAATGGTTAGTTTTATGTTACATGAATTTCACTTCACTTTATTTTTTTTTTATTTTTTTTTTAACGTTTATTTATTTTTGAGACAGAGTGAGACAGAGCATGAACGGGGGAGGGTCAGAGAGAGAGGGAGACACAGAATCTGAAACAGGTTCCAGGGTCTGAGCGGTCAGCACAGAGCCCGATGCGGAGCTCGAATTCACGGACCGCGAGATCATGACCTGAGCCGAAGTCAGACGCTTAATCGACTGAGCCACCCAGGCGTCCCGTCACTTCACTTTATTTTTTTTATATTTTTATTTAAAAAAAAATTTTTTTTCAACGTTTATTTATTTTTGGGACAGAGAGAGACAGAGCATGAACAGGGGAGGGGCAGAGAGAGAGGGAGACACAGAATCGGAAACAGGCTCCAGGCTCTGAGCCATCAGCCCAGAGCCCAACGCGGGGCTCGAACTCACGGACCATGAGATCGTGACCTGGCTGAAGTCGGACGCTTAACCGACTGCGCCACCCAGGCGCCCCTCACTTCACTTTAAAAAGTAGGGATTTCGGGGCACCTGGGTGGGTGAGTGGGTTAAGCATCCAAGTCTTGATTTTAGCTCAGGTCTTGATCAGGCAGTTTCATGATTTCAAGCTCCGAATCAGGTTCCGTGCTGTCAGCTCAGAGCCTGCTTGGGATTCTGTCTCCCCTTCTCTCTCTTCCCCTCCCCCACTCACACATGCACTCTCTCTCAAAATAAATAAATAAAAACTTTAAAAAGTAGGGATTATACACACACATACACACACAATGTATGAAATATCTATAGTAGCTTTAAATTTTTATAAATAAGTTTTGTATAAACTAGAATATTGGTTTTTGTATTGTGATAAAATCAGGAAGAAATATAATTGCTTTGAATAAAAATTCTCACCCTGAATAAGACTATTTCTTAGACTTTTCCATAGATTTATACTTTATAAACACTTATATTTAGAGACTAAGTATTGAAAATTCTTCAAATTTTGTTGAAATCCCTTAGCATTTCTTTGCTTTTTATCTTGTAAACCATAACCAAGGCTATTAATTTATCTGAGAGTTAAACTTTTTCATTCCTCTCAGGTATAGATTCATCAAACTTTTGAAGTTTTTTCCTTAAAGAACCATCACATTGAAAACATTAAGGTGCGCCAGGGTGGCTCAGTTGGTTAAGCGTCTGACTTCGACTCAGGTCATGATCTCACAGTTTGTGGGTTCGAGCTCAGAGCCTGGAGCCTGCTTCCAATTCTGTCTGTGTCTCTGTCTCCCTCTGCTTTCCCCCTGCTCATGCACACTCACTCTCTTTCTCTCTCTGTCTCACAAAAAAAGTCTGTTCGAAAACATCAAAATTTGATTTTCCTCATTTCTGGAATTACTTTTAAATTTATTTTAAACCTTTAAAATTATTATTTTAAATTTCAAAGGGCATTTCTATATGCCAATCAAGACAAATGCTTTGATAAATACAAGTAACTTTACAATGTAATTTGGTAATTATTTTCTCTCTTTGCTCTGACTAGTTTATCCACGGAATGTGCGCAAAGTGAAAGATCTTTATTTACCAATTAACCTCCGCAAGTGTTTTGGGTGGGGAGGGTGGAGGAAAAGGAGATGAAACTTGGGACAGGAAGGGAGGGGGCAGCCGCAAATATAGAGCATGCTAAACAAAACAATTACCTTCCTTTTGCATGGAGAGAACAACTTTTTTTTAACATACAAAAAGTACTAGTGGGGGCAGGCACCTGGCTGGTTCAGTCAGTAGAGTGTGCCACTTTTTTTTTTTTTTTAATATTTATTTATTTGAGAGAGAGAGAGAGAGAGAGAAAGGGGGAGAGGGGAGAGAGGGAGGGAGACACAGAATCCAAAGCAGGGTCCAGGCTCTGAGCTGTCCGCACAGAACCCCATGCAGGGCCCAAAGTCCTGAATTGTGAGATCATGACCTGAGCCGAAGTCAGACGCCTAATCAACTGAGCCACCCAGGTGCCCCAAGTATGCCACTTTTGATCTCAGGGCCGTGAGTTCAAGCCCCATGTTGGGTGTGGAGCTTATTTAAAAAAGAAAGAGAAAGGAAGGAAGGAAGGAAGGAAGGAAGGAAGGAAGGAAGGAAGGAAGGGAAAGAAAGAAAGAAAGAAAGAAAGAAAGAAAGAAAGAAAGAAAGAAAGAAAGAAAGAAAGAAAGAATTTAGTGGCTTCAGTTTTATAACCTCAGCTGGAGAAAAAAAAAAAAAGAAAAGAAAAGAACACAACAGCTCATAAGTCCAGACACTATATATCTCAGAAGGTTGTTTGCTTTTCCAGTTGGCACAGAAAGTTTCTTGAATGATAGGATCTCACTGAAGGGGAAATTGCTGGCTAATGACTAGCCAGAGGCCTGCTCCCCCCAGAGAATGACAGGGAGAGGTAGATAGGCCTTTGTCCCCTTTGGGCCCCAGTCAGCCTTCAGCTGGGGCTCAAGAAACCCGGCTCATTGCATTAGGTACATCCTCGCCCAGGCCCTGAGGACACTTCTTTCTATATCCAATCAGTCCATAGTCTAAACTATTTCTACAGCACGTCT